TCTCTGTATGATGATTGGACGGCTATACGCTAGGCGAGGCTGAGTGGAGAATCTTAATACCCGAAGCTTTGCACCACACCAACACCAACGATTATAAGGACGTATTTTAATTTCATCGAGTTGGTGTTGCAAGCAACGGTATATATACATATGGATAAGTATGAGGTGCAGGACAGCCTGCTCGCGATTGGGTGGGTGAAATGATCTTGGGGCTCGGCGCGCCGAGCTACCGGCCGATGCGATTGTAAGGACGGGGATTTCGTGTCATCACACCAATACTGTTGTTGATGCCCCCTTCCGGCGTGTGGTCAAGCAGCAGGGCGTTGCGCGACCACGGCCGTCGCGCGCACAAGTACCTAGGTACGTCAGACTACCGCTCCAGTCTTCTTGAACAGTGCCAATCTCCATGCGCGTATCGCACCGCGTTCGTCGTAAGAACGATAGCGACTCCCGTAGGCATCACCGCGTCAACGTGGAAGCAAGAGGATGTCGGAACTCTTTTTGCGATCGGTGCAGGTGGGCAACAGGATACCTTTCTACAACCGCCATTGTGGTCGCCCCAAGTCCCTTGCAGAAGATGGACTTCCCTACGCGCAGCTACACAGAGCGCGTAATCACGAAGTATTAGAAATGACTTGACGCCGGGTATCATTAATTGGTTCTCGCGACGATAATGAACAGCCACTTCACTCGTTAGATGGCTCTCCCTCCATAATCGTGGGTGAGCCTTTTCAGGATACGGCGATCTGTAGATGATGGGCAGTCGCCCCGCGTCAGTTTCAGCCTTGCGCGTTGATTTGGCCCCCACACTTATTCTACATAGCCTCCACCGTCTCACAAGATGGCGGAGCTAAGGCAGTGGCTATTTAGGTCTTTCAAACATAACGATCTAACAGTCCCCAGCTTCCTATCTTCGTCCTCCCGGTTTTCGCACTCCCATTAATGTTTGTACAATCATGGGCAGGCTAAACCGTTGCTTCCCGAAGCTCCTCCCCACGCTAACCGGATGGAGGAGATTAGCCATCCTGAACATCGGCGCGATGACCCTTCTGACGCTATTACTTTGCGGCTTCACCGTGGCTTCGATGCTCAAAACAGACCTCTCACGAATAAACAAACCGAATTACGGTGGGCCTGAGACAAACCGAGCGGCCGTGGTGCGCAACACCTTCCTGTTCCACAGATCGCAGTGCAGTGTATCGAGATCGGGTTACTCGACATCGGATGTCATCAACACGATCCTCCACCTACTCGTCAACGGTATATCGAGTGCGGTCCTGGCGTCGTCCAGTTTCTTCTCGCAGGTACTCAGCTCGCCAACTCGTGCAGAAGTGGATGTGTCGCACGCGCGGGGAAGGTCAGTCGATATCGGAGTGCTATCATGGCGAAACGCGATACGTTTGTCTCCTTTTAAGAGGGTGGCTTGGATCATACTGTTGATCACGTCGCTGCCTCTGCATCTGCTCTTCAACAGTGCCATACTGCAGTCAAAATCCGGTTCAGCCTGTGAAGTGGGCATATCGAACCCTCTTCTCTTGGCCGTTACACTGGCTTGTTTGGTCAAAGTGGTTATCTGTGTGATAACTGTCTTGGTCCTAGGTTTTCAGGAACCCCTGGTCACGCCCGGAGACGCATTGTCTTCGTTCATCTCGAATCCCGACCCATTTACCGCTGGCAGACTGGACATGCTGGTGAAACAGTCGACGCACGGGGCTAGTGATGGTGGCTCGATACTGTGGCGGTATACGTATCTAAGACGGGCATCCTCCATTTCACGAAGAACATGGGCATGTACATACGCCTTTTTTATTGCCTTCATCGTGGCTGCAGCTGGAGTTCTGATCAAAGAATGTCAAATGTTGACGATAAGGAAGAATAACTCGACGTGAGTTCCCACTCCGAGCCATCACGCGCATTATCTGATCCGTACTGTAGGGACTATACTACCACTAATCCTACGATCCGACCACCCAATTCCTCCGTTCCCTTCATCACGACAGTGCTTCTAGCCAACATTCCACAGCTCTTGCTCTCAGTCTGGTACTTCGCGTACAACGCCATATTGACTCGCCTGCAACTCAGCCAGGAATGGGCTCTGTTCTCCACGTCATTCCGACCTCTTCGGGTCTCTCAGCCCAGGTATTTTCCCGGTCTTTCCTGACACACTCATGGGGATGCAATGCCATCTACATTGACGAAGAACATGAAGAATAGCTTGCTAACGAAAGCTTCAAAAAGAGGTCAGCAGGTTGGGACCTATAGACTCCAGCTCCCGTATAAATACAGCATCCTCCTGATCATCCTCAGTGCGATTCTGCACTTCCTCCTTTCAGAGAGCTCATCTGTAGCTCTTTACACCGATAGTATGTACCAAGACAAAGACGCAACGAATATATGCAACACGCAGACACTGATACTACACATTAGCCGATACGACCAACGGTTGGGACAGCTGGAAAGACTACCAATCTCTACCAGACGACTTCTATGTCTCTTGGAGTCTATCTCCAACATACTTAGCCGGACTGCTGGCCCTGGCCACCGCCGCCATCCAGATCCCCTGGCTTCTGGGCTTATTGCGACTGCCCGGGCACATGCCACCCATTGGATCAGACTCGCGGGCCATAGCGGCTGCTTGCCATGTATCGCCGTTAGCCAAAGCCCCGCTTACTGATCAAACCAATGGGAAAGAGGAAGGTTATGAGCCCGTGTCCATGGCCGAGGAAGAAGGGCACAGTGGTTTGCTCGCCGTTTCCAGGAGTCTTCTCTCGTGGGGCGTGGTGAAGATGCCTCAAGATTGGTATGATGCTCAGGTAGACCAGCGAAGTGGTCCAGAAACTCGCCGGCCGGTGGAGCATCTCAGTTTCGGTACGGCATTGGACGGTGTTAAAAAGCCTATTAGGGGACGTTTCTACGCATGAACACGCGCTCAGCAGCTTGATAGTGGTGATACATAGCTGAATTCTTTACCGTGGACCCTTTCTGATCTCTACGCCCCTAGCACAGCTCTGCTTGTTGTAGTTGCACTAGACAAGGTCTAGTCAAAGGCATCGTTGAGCCTACGATCCAGTCGCGACAAGAAAACATATAGCTGATTGGGACGGTTTAGGTAATTATGCATGTGTTGTCGTGTAAGGCTGTGCGGGGCTGTGTAGGCACATAATAAAGATGGTGGCGTTTCAGGCCTTCGATGATGACTGCAGACACACGCCACTGGGTGGTGCGACTTTGATCGTGGAACGCGATGTCAGATTAGTAGAAGGAACAAACCAATAATTCGGTGACATTATCATAAAACCGCTAAGGCATCAACGTAATAGGATCAAGTACAGAAGTTGCACCTTGAGAAGAGGAGGTTCTCTGGAGATGAGTGGAAGCGCCACAACACATCCTCGCATGCGGGGCGTAGTACTATTAAAGCCACCGACGCTTCGGCGTCCTTCTTCCGCTTACGATTGGTCTAAGATCGCTTTCGCCCCTAATGAACTGATAGCTGTGTAGCCATGTAAATAGCTTGGTTTCGCATTAATGTCTGCCGCTTATGAGCCTGTTCAGCCTACTTCGAGGCTTCCAGTACTTTCTGTACAAAACACAACCATGACTGCAACACCAACAGCAACGTTTATAACCGACCAGAACGTTATTAAAGAATTTAATCGCGGTTCAATTACTACAGTTTTCACGCCTCCACCCTCATGTACTGAAACTATTACGTCCGCCACCGGTGCTTTATTCGTTGGACACTACAGACTCGACTTTGACCAGGAGTGTTATCCTAGAGCGTCCAATCCATCTGAAGCACCAGCACCATCTTCTGGATGGGATGCATATTACTGTGCGCGAGTCGTAACCGAATCGGATATACCGACTAATGCTGCGTAGATAGCCCGGCCATATGCCCTGCCGGTTGGACCGCTGCGACTACATTCACGAGCGCCATTCCCATACACCCAACACCATCGGCATATTTCCTCGGGTCTGCCACTACAGCGGCTTTATGCTGTCCTCTGTAAGTACTCATCGTTGGCGTCATCAAACTACAAACTCTTCAGCGCTGACTTCCCCTTAGTGGATACTCGTTGTTTCTAGATGGCCACCAATGCTCATCCATAGTAACAGCAAACCAAGTTCTCACAGTGCGCATCTACGATGGTCCATTTAGCTCGAGCAATTTGAGCATAAGTACACAAGCCTCCGATTGGTGGGTGTTTGGTGACGGTGTGCCTATCATGTGGCAATCAACAGACTCGGCGGTACTTGCGCACGCTTCTCTCACAACATCGAGCCAAACAATCACTGGGCCAACGCAGAACCCACCAAACACATCTGCTACAGATGACAGCTCGCCTACCGAGACCCTGTCCTCATCGTCTGGCGGCCTGTCCACGGGCGCGAAGGCCGGATTGGGAATTGGCATAACAGCGGCTGTGCTCATACTACTAGCGATTGGTTTTCTTCTTGGGAAGAGAAGGCGACGGCGTTATGGGCACACGCCAGCCACTAAGGAAAGCTCCATGCCAGGCCAAGATGCTCAACAGTATGGAGAAAGTGACCACGGACATTTGGGATATCAGGAGATGCCGGCGGATCATGCGAGGACGGAGATGCAAGCAAATTCGGTGAGGGTAGTGAACCAGCACGAGCTACCTAATGTATCGCATTAGCGAGATGTTGTTCATGTGGAGAAATGAAACAGAATAATGCGTAATGTAAGGTCTGAAATTCTGACTAGCGTGTACAAGTCTGCTACGTCATGGGGGACTTGGTAAAGACGGTGAGTGGCGAGACTGTAAAGGTGTGCGTCGGAAGGACAGTGTTGTAAAAGAATGGGGGTACTGTTGGCCGGTAAGACATTTTCATCGTGAAGGCTTCGTGGTGATGGTGAGTCCGGAGGAGAATTTTGTCATTCGTTCTGTTAACCATGATGTGATGCTCAGGCTCACAAGTATCGCGAACCATCACACCCCGACTGCTTTTGACTGAACTTCTTCCAGCGTGTACTAGTCGCGCGCAGTAAAGCCGTCCTGTCTGGCCTGCTTTGGCATGTACTTTTCCAATTGTTCCTGGAAGCGGCTATCAGGCAGGTCCATGTGGGCATTTCCCCAGTTCGTGTTCAAGAGTTTTTGAGCGAGACCGTTGTCCATGACGCCGATCTGTTGAAGATGGCATGCCTGCCATATCTCTAAGTCATTCTCGATGTCGTCATCCGCCGCCTTCGCGAGACGTAGTGACGCCGTGTTCGCCCCGCCACGATGCGCGACCAATTTTGGGTGGTAACCCTCCCAGCGAATATCCCGTGGGTCGGCATCGTCATCTGAATTGAGAAGTCAGTCCTAATCTTAGACGGATGAGACGTGATTTATGTCGTACAGTTACCGTGAGCAGACCACATGACGGACCATGCAGCCCCGCCACGCGTCCAGACCATGGCATGCTCCCAATCGTGACGGTGTCCGGTAGTGTCAGCCACAGCCCTGTCCATCTCGCTGTAGTAAGCGTACATGTAGACGCACCATCCGTGGTTGCATCGTTCACGTGCATACGTGTTGCAGTTCCACTGGCGCGACGAATCGCGACACTCTCCTACGGAAAACTTTGCATCCAGACCAGGATTGGTGTTGCCGTTGGAGTCTATGGCCGAAGTTTGATAACATACGTCCTTGTCCCAGTCAAGGACTGGCTGCCACTTCAACGCCCCTTCCGTCCCGCTGATGAGTGGATTCAGTATCACTCCGGTCAAACTCGCGGTGGCCACACTGATGAGAGCGAAGAGCAGAGCTGCTTTGGCGGCCGGGAAGCGAGACATGACGTGTCTAAATTTGGTATGGATTGGTGTGAGAGAATGAGGCGTGAATTGGAGATGAGACAAACGAGGATTTGGTGACCGGTTTCCTGCTCTTGATGATTGCTTGATGTTCTGAGCTTGCAGTTCCATCGCCATAGAGGAGCAGACGACCCGACTTTATATCAGACATACTCTCAGCTGGCTTATACTCGTAAGTAGATTTGGTCGCTTACTCTAGACGTCTCGGACGTCCGGCAACGGTGATGTTCAGCTAGTCCGGCGTGTACTACCCGAGTAACATCTTCAGCTATCACTACGATCGTGGCGTCGTAGGATCCTCCATAAACGTGATGCACAGTGCTGTAGAGGTCATACAGACGTCAGGCCAGTACAGTCAGTACGACGTGTTGTACCAGCGGAGATCTCTTTTTGTTCCTGCGTTTACATGGCACCAAGCTGGGGTATGCTGCAACTGGCCTAGGCTAAACCGCAAATAGCTCAGCCCAAGCAATTCCAACGTCGGAACACTTCTTATCGCTCTCGCTGAACCATCTGATGGTCGCTCGGATGAGATGCGTGGAACTCTGTAGCTCTATGCTAGTGGCCAATATGTCAGCATTACTGTAACGTTCTCAAAGGATCAGTGTAAGCTAGTTCTTTCCACAAAGAGATTGATGAAATGTGAGTGAATGCATTACAGTCTAGGTATCGATGCTACATGAATACGGGTATGAAGGCATGAGCCTGAAAAGAGAAGAAAGAATGACGCGCGGAACGACAGCGCAAACTAAGCCTTGAGCTCAGTGGTGCCAGCCTCGTCGCTGCTGCGGTTCTCCGCCTTGCGCGCGTACTCCGTACCAGTGATGGACTCATCACCCATATCCCAGTCTTGCGCAAGGTCCTCGAGCGTCCTGCGCTTGGTCTCCGGGATCAACAAGGTAGTGAAGATACCACAGAACATGAAAGCTGAGAAAATTTGCATGACGTGGTTCAACCATGGGTTCTTGTTCGTCGCTGTAGCGCCCCGAGTTCGAAGAGGAGAGATAGCTCCCTGAGCGATGATGGAGCCGATCTTTCCTGAGCCAGCAGAGATTCCGTGGGATGTGGATCGGTAGCGAGTTGGGAAGCACTCTCCAGGCACGATGAAGGTGGTCGTGTTGGGACCCCAGTTGAAGAAGAGCTGGATGAGGACGTAGATGGCCAACATGGCGTGGTGGCTGAGGTGACTGTAGGCGAATCCCTAATTGAAAGTTAGTGTGTGTCTTTGATGCATCAAATTGGAACATATACATACCCAGACAATGAAGAGGATGGTGAGAATGGTAAAACCAGCGAGCTGGAGTGTTTTGCGTCCAACAGTATCGATAGTCGCTACCGCAAGCCAGTATCCGGGGATAGCTCCAGCGCACACCAAGATAGCGTTACCGGCAGCAAGGTTGTGTAGATTAAGATATAGATTGTCACCGTTGGCGTAGCCGATAGCTTGGAGAACAGTCGAGGAATTCAGGCCGAGTCCATAGAATGCGACATCGAGAAGGAGCCATGACATTGCGGTACCGAAAAGAATCTTGCCGTTGCGGAGCTTGCCGTAGAACCTAAAGAAGTCGCCAAAAGAAGCCTTGGGAACTTCAAGTTGAGCAGTGGCCTGGGTCTGGGCAACTTGGGCGATTGCATCAGGGTCGCCGTTGCCATGCTTACCAGAGAGGTACTGGTTGGTGTCTGCGTTTGCCTTCTCGACGTCACGGGCGACATCGAACGTGTAGCGAGGAGTCTCGGGAATGGTAAGACGGTAGTAGAGCGCGATGCAGGCTGGGACGATGCCAATTCCGATAAGGGCACGCCACATCTTGTCAACCGCGATAGAGCACTGACCATCACAGTCTGCGTAGCCCTTAGCGCCTGAGAGCGTGTCCTTGAAACCGGCAACGAGGCAAAGCATGACCAGAGCACCACCGAGCTGACCAAAACCTTGCATGGCGAAGACGGCACCCATCATAGCACCACGCCATTTGGTCGTGGCAAACTCAGAAGTGATGATGGACGACAGTGGGTAGTCACCACCGATACCTGATAGCTATTAGCAAGGCGACAATTTATAACTCGACAATAAACTCACCAATTCCCATCAATACACGCCAGAAGATGATCAAACCGACAACCGAAGTGCCGGGACCGGGGCCAGTGAGAGACTGAGCGAGTGTGGCGACGATGATGAGGATCAACTCAAGACCGTACATCTTCTTTCGTCCAACGATATCGGCCAGTGTACCGAATCCGACTTGCCCAAGAACAGTACCAGCTGATGTTGCAAGCTTGATGGCTGTGTCTTGTTGGGTGAGAAGCACACCCTTATTGTCGTGCTTGTAAACGATACCCAACATGATCGTCAAGAGAGACACGCAGAAGATGTCGTACGAATCCGTGAAGAAACCGGTACCTGCGACCAAGATGGCGCGCACATGGTACCAGCCAAAGGGCGCTTTGTCGATCTCAGCGAGCGCAAGCCGGCGTCGCTCATTGGGGTCTTCAATATGCTAAGAACAGTCAGCAAGGCTGCTACTTAAGACGTCGACTGTGTTACCATACCGCGAAGTCATTGTTGAAGTTGTGGAACGCGGCGTTGCCGCCAGCTGTCTTGTGAGCCATTGTGAAGCTTTGCCGAGACTTGTCAAGAGATTAGACGAGGCTTGAGTCCGGAAAAGACGGCTGTAGGAGCTGGAGATCAGTGGTAGAGGGTGCAGGGCCAAGCTATATATCTGCACTCAAGCTTACGCCGAGTGCTGAGCATCATGCTTGTATGCCAAACCTACGGTACCCACGGACCAGTAAGATCATTCCGTTCTGGCACGCCCGCAGATTTGCAATCTTTCCTTCGGCCTTTCCGCTGTAAGCAGCATACTCACTCGTGAAAATGCGCCTTTGCGAGCCCAGGCCGCCACAAGGCTTGACGCGTCTTGAGGGTTATCCTTGCCGCGCATCTGGTGTGGTGAAGGGAACGCGAGGAGAGGACGTTCGGTCCAATCATGTACCCCACGTGCTGCGCCAAGACGCTAAAAGGGGCACGGCCAGAACGCCTTCTCCCAACATCGCCCCGATTGACCTTTGAAGGATTGGAGCTTCTTCGCACTCAAGACTCTCTTGGAAAGCTTGGGTGCATCCTTATGATTTTGTGGCTTGCCTTTAGACGCTTGATCAACACTCACGATGACATCCAACGCGTATGCCGCCGACCTACCTGATCAGTCTTGTCTCGTCTTCTCCAAAGGAATGGCTCGAACTGAACCTGGTCCCGTACCCCATGCCTCGACCGACTAGTACCGGGCCCGTCAGATGGGGTTGCATGCATCAAGCAACTGTCTCCGCTAGCCTGTAATGCGAGACCCGTCTTCTGGACTGTCGGTTGGTCCCGATACCAAACTACTTACCAGCACACTGGCGAATCATCTTGCTCACTAACACCCAACTGGTTATCAGGGAGCAAAATTCTGACACTTTGAGGTGCAGGTCATCGGAGGCAACCCCGTCTAGGGATGCTGCAATGACCGACCCGTGGTTTCATTGGAACCCCCACTGCCATCGATGTTCGACTGCCGCATGATTTTTACCCAATCTCATCGTTGCACGTGGGATGGCACTGCAGCGATCGAATTTATTGGTGCTATGAGCGTTTCGGTCGCTGGACCTGAGCGGCAATCGTACCACCAACCCAACAACAGATGGACAAGCCTACATCGCAAGCGATGCCTTGTTCCAGCGTCCCAAACGTTGAGCCTTTTACAAGATGTATGGCCTTTCGTCGCGTTCTCACATGCGATTTTATCCACACCATCGGCCGTGTTCAATTCGGACTCACCCAAGACAGCGGTTCCAGGAGTGGGTCACTGCAAGACATGCAGGGGAGATGCAGTCGGGTGCTGCGGCCAGGTTGTTCAATCCCGCAATGCAGAATCAGAATCCTCTACTGGGCACCCTCGTCTCTGATGACAATGCGTCGCGGCCTCGCCGAGATCGAGAGGCTTTGCTTCCTACCGAATACCTCGCCTCTCACAACATCTTGATGCGAAGTTTGATTCCTACCGGTCGCTGCATCTACCAGCATATAGTCCGCGGATCTCGCACGATCGGCTTTCCACAAGTTGCACCATTCGGCGCCTCGACCACTACATGTTAGATTCACATGATCTGGCCCCACGTGCCATCAACCAGGCCAGACACGCGGCAAGTAGATCCAATTCGACGTAGAGCACTGGTTTTGAGAACCAGTCATCGCCGTTCTGGACGACGATCTTTCCGCGGATATACCATATCAGGAGAGGGTCGTTCGCCATTGCACGAATGAACTCAAACGCGATCATCATCAATTGGTCATCTATATTCTCATTCCAACTGGTCGTATGGTCTGTTCTCTTCCGTTGGTATTCCTTCAATCGGCGCTTGATGCTCTCATCACGATCTTCTCTTCTTTCCTCCCGCTCGGCTCCTACAGTCATTGGGGCTGCCTGCTCTTTGGGTGGAGACGCCATCTGTTGTCGCTTGACGATCTACTCCGTCAGATACTGAGATTTTCACAGCGGAAGAAGTCGTCTCGGAACCGTTCTATCGTGCGTCCATACTCGTCTTCCAACACTTCCCTCAACAACCTTCGTTTCGGTGCTGGCTGTCTCACCCAAGGCCACGGTCGCTTGAACGTGTGTGTGGTTCTAGTCGCTTGGTTGCGTTGTCGTGGTTGCCTCGGGTTATCTTTCTCCGCTTTCTTCCTCCTCGGATGGGGCACCGGGTAGCGCAAGCCGCGCATCATACAGTGCGTTTTTCTAGGCTTGGAAGCGTCGTCATCCCCTCCTGGACGCTCCTTCCCTGATTGAGGCAGGCCGTGAGCAGTACTTCCTCCTGGCTCGCGATCCCGTGGAACATCTTGAGACGATCGTTCCTCGTTCGGCACACCACACTGTGACTTCATAATCGACGGCGGTGACAGATCTTCATGAGAATGATGCAACTCCGGTTGCTTTCTTTGCTTCGTT